AATGTTTTATAAAGTTTTTCTCGTAAAGTAAATAGAATTGGAACAAGCTATACTATTAATAATCAGCCGCTAGAATTATGTTTATTCGATTCAGGATTTGGGTGTTATTTTCAATGAGAAGCTTACTTTCCTCTGACCACATATACTCTGGTCAATAGTAGAATAGATTCAAGATACCGGCAATACATGATATTTACCAAAACGCAACCATGACCGTAATTCTGGATGACAAATTAATAACGGATAATATAAAAGTTAAACGAGGAGTCCCGACCAGGCGATATAATTTCACCTAAACTGTTTACCTTGACCCTCGAAGACATAATAAAATCGACAGATTGGGAAAACAGAGGAATATGTATTAACGGAAAATACCTAAATCACCTTAGATATGCAGATGATATACTCCTGATCTCTTCGGAACGACAAGAACTGGAATTAATGCTGAATGAACTTCATGAAAAATCACTGCAAAAAGGCCTAAAAAAAAGTAATGACAAACACGGAAGACCAAGAGGCAATAAAAATACAAACAGAGAAAATAGAACAGGTAAATGAGTATATCTATCTAGGACAAGCAATCAGAGCTAACAGAGAAAATCAAACAGCCGAAATATCGAGACGAGTAAGAATGGGATGGGCAGCGTTCTGCAAACTTTCTTACGTTCTAAACAATCAAACAATCCCTCTATACTTACGAAGCAAGGTATATAACTCCTGTATAATACCGGTGCTCACCTACGGAGCACAGACATGGACATTTACACAGGCCAATTTGGATAGGATAAGGAAGGCACAAAGAGCGATGGAGAGACAAATGTTGGGTATATCACTTAAAGATAGAAAACGTAACCAGTGGATCAGAACCAGAACAAAGACAGTAGACGCGATAGAACAAGCAGCAAAACTGAAATGGAAATGGGCTGGACGCAATGAACGTCTCCAAGACGGACGATGGAACAATGCCATCGGAAAGTGGCGTCCATACAATGCAAAGAGATCAAGAGGCAGACCACAGATGAGGTGGAAAGATGACATCAGGAAACAAGGAGGTCCCACATGGCAGAGAACAGCTCAAGATAGGGAAAGATGGAAAGAACTGGGGAGACCTATATCCAACAATGGAAGTGATAGAGAATAGGTTAAAAAAAAATGATTAAAGTACAGTTTCTAAAATCGTCAAAAAAATATATACAATTTTTTCTGATAAATACGTAATTGATGAACTGGACAAATACTAAAAATGAATACTGCAGGAAAAAGCACCACCTCCAAATTTTCAATTACACCAGAAATATGGAAGAACTGCATTTTACATGTCCAAGAAAAAGTAGAAAAGGAAATGTGGCGGCTGGAAAATATAATTGAAATGCATTTTTGAGCAACTTATTATAAACGTTGGTAATAGTGACATATTCAATTCATCAGCATAATGTTTAAAGGATGAAATTCTCGATCTCTGTCATATATTTACGGCCGAACTCAAACGAATTATGAATCGCTTTGTATTTTATTCCAAAAACACTAACCGTTTTGAAATATTTCAACTTTTTGTTGGCCGTTTTTGAATGTTTTTGAATAAAAAAGTAATTTGTTTTTTTCATCTTGTATAAATGGTTCCTATTGTGGAATATCAACTAAAAACAATCAGGTTCTTTGTCTCGCATTTTTGCAAAATTAAAATATAAATTTCGTATTTTACAAGATAATAATTCTGGCCAAACGAAAAGATAATTCTAAATGCGGTCCTGTTAAAGGTCTACACCTGCTAATGTTTATGTCCCCCGCATGGCTTATTGCAGTTTAGTATAGAATAAAGTTTTTCAATTCATTTTACCGTCAACAGAGGATTAAAACAAGGAGACTCCCTGTCAACAGACTTTATTCAACCTAGTACTTTTTATAAAAGTACCATTTTGTTGCCCTCTGGGGAGGGCAACAAAAAACACATCGAAAGACGATGATAGCTACGGATATCCCGGAAAAAATAGAACTGAATAAATCTAAAGAAAAAACACCAAAACAGAAAAAAGTAACTAGGCGCGTACTAGATAGTGATTTTGATAAGAAAGTTGAAAAGGATATGAAACTACAAGATTCCAGCGGAGCAAAGGATTTTATTGGTATAGATCCTTATTCAATTAGTTTAGAAGATCTTGATCGCTGTCCCAATAATGGGGATTCTATTATTGTTAAATTTAACAAATTAGTAGGCACAGTCTTGTCTCAAATAAAAGAAAATGATTTTGAAATATAGTTTTTATAAGAAAACGCGCTAAATGTGAAAACAGGTTCTTTTTTCCAGTTGTCCCAGATGTCTCATATTTATTAAAAAGAGACGTTTAAATGATTTTAACGCCCCCTGTAATGCAATGGTTAACTAAGCACCAAATTTCTCTTTTAAAATTTGAATTAAACTTTGACAGTCTTAACGTAAAATAATGTTAACTGTTGCGTCTCAGTGTTCCCACATTGAAAGGAACAGTGAGACATTTAGTAATTTTTAATTTTAATATTTTTGAGATGTTAACTTTAGTTTTTTATCACAAAACGACATGATTTTTGAGTTCTTGTTTACATATCAAATATAGAGGTACAATAAAGTTTAAAGTAGCATTTAATAAAAAAGTTATTGTCATTGAACGTTTTGCGTCTCATGTTCCTACCACTCCCCTACTCAATATTTTGACTGATTTTCATAACAAAAATAAAATAGAACGATTTATGTTGGGAAAATTTGCTAACAGAACGAGACTCATTGAAGTAGTAGTAAATACAGCTGAATATGCTAAAACTGTTTGCCAAAAAAAAAAATTAATTAGAGTGACGGATGTCAGAATTTTTTCTGGATCGAACAAAAGCCTAGCAAGAGTATTTCAAGACAATCAAATTACAGTTAGATGATATGTTTAAGAAAGGTGATAATTCTAAAATAATCTAATTCATTAATAATAAGTCTACAATAGTCCAAAAAGACAAATTTATCTCAAAAAATAGTAAGTAGCCCTTACTATTAAGGGCGCTACTTAGTATTGATGTTTATCGTATTATATTATTTAATATTGATGTTTTATATTTCAATGCACAGAGCTTGTGGAACAAAATGAACCAAATCAAGTTAAGTCTGCTGTGTTATTGTCCTAAAATAATAGTGGTTAGCGAAGCTTGAGTTACAAGTAAAATAGAAGATTCCCAAATTGCTTTGTGTGGGTATAAGGTAATACGCTGCAATTCATCTAAACGTTCTAAAGGGAGTGTTGTACTATATGTTCGGGATAATAAGTGTACTGCCGCTAAAACTTTTGTAAAAGAAGATAAGTTTTGGTGTAAATTTATTAACGTAGATATTGGTTCTTACAAGATTGTTTTGGGGAGCATGTATCATTCACCTTCTAGTTCTAATGCAGTATTTTTAGAAAACTTAGAGAGCACATTTTTGATGAAATATTTAAAAGTAATGTCAATTGTATTTTACTTGGTGATTTTAGTTTAAATTTTTTAAGTACTCAGCTTCTACAACCAGAAAATTAAAGCAATGTTTGTATAATTTGTGTGTAATGTTTCATTACTAATGTTAATGAAACTTTAATTATGCTCTTGTTAATAATTATTTTCTTTAGTTGTTTTGTTCATTCAACTCCCAAGTTGAGTAATCACTCAATAATATCGGTCAGTTTTAGTAATAGTTTTTCAAAATTGTAATGTATCTAATACTATCTTTAATTACATTAATAACATGAACAATGTTGATTAAACTAAAATATATTTGAAACTCAGTCAAAAATAAGGATAAGGATATAACATTCAAATTTTATAACATTTTTAGTGTTCGCCTTACGAACATGACATATAAATAAGATCGTCTGAATTTGAATCACTATTTTTTATCTGAAATAATGGGTACGGCGTTTAGTAAAATTAAAACTATATTTAAACTTTTATTTATAGAACAATACAAAAATAAATATCTATTACAACATATTAACTAGAATTTTAATACAGCCATCGTTTTAATAACTAATGTAACTTTTCTCACAGCACCAAATCAGTACAAAGTTGAGCTTTGCTCCTCATATTTTAAACTTAATGTTTAATATATAATTATAACGAGTTTAATGATATATTGCAAAGGATATTCACCAAAAAATCAAACAAGTATAATTGAGGAAATCTGATAATAATCTTGGGAGACTTTTAGAATCGGAGACTCGACAGCAGCAGGAGTAAAACAAAGGTTCAAAGTATAAAAAATGGCAATGAAATTGTCTCATATGGCCTTGGAACTACTTTTATGTTCTAAGCTTATGACTATGACAGCTTCAAGAGGACCATGGACAGCTTCAAGAGGACCATGGCCAACTTCAGGTCACTTAACGAATATAGGTTAAGCACATTGTAATATGTAAGATTTCAAGTAAAACTTAAAAAGAATAAAAGTATATTATTTCATAATAAGACAACATAAGACATGGTGTCAGGTAATTAAATAGATGATAAATAAAAATCTTAATATGGAGAGTAGCTTCAAGCCGCCGAAAAACCTGGTGTTTGACAGCAGTGTCCACGTGAATTTGGATAATTTTTTCAGAAGCTTGGACATTTACTTGAAGGAGATCGGTTTGAGCGAAAAAGACGATGAATCCAAAGTGGCAATTTTACTAAACCATGCCGGTGAAGAAGCCCAGAAAAAGTTCGAGACATTTAAGTTTTTAAGTTAAAAAGTTTAAGACATTTGAGTTGTTGGGGCCTTTCAAAACCATTGTAAGCTAATGAGGACCGAGACTTACGATAGATACAAGTTTTTCACGAGAATTCAGCAAGAAGGTGAGAGTTTTGATCATTACACCACCAACATAAAAACCCTTGCGTCTCCTTGCAACTTTGCAACTTTATAAAAGGCGGAAGAGTATTGTAGAGCCGCTGAAATAAGTTCAATTCAAGTAAAAGAAATAAGAAATGACAAGGAAGTGGATTTCGTAAGATATAGTAACAAGAAATCAATGGGACACAGTATTAGACAGAGTGTTGATATGTACAAATGTTTCAAATGTGGAACAAACCATGGTAAAATGAACTGTCCAGCGTATGGAAAAAACTGTCAAAATTGTGGAAAACTTAATCATTATGCAGTAGGTTGTTTTAATAAAAAACATGGTCAGGTAGGATCAGATCAGGCAAGTCAATCCAATAGTAGGTATCATAATGTTAAAAATTTTGGATATAAAAATAACAATCTTTTAAGAAAACATGTACATGAGGTTGATAATGAGAGTTCAGATGAAGATGTTTCATATTCTATTGATTATTTAATATTAGACTTAGTTGATAGTAATAATAATAAGGCTTGGTATGTACAAGCGCAGATTAACAATCAGGTAGTATCGCTAAAATTAGATACTGGGGCTAGTTGTAACTGTATGCCTCTCAGTTTATTTACTAAATTAAATCTAAACAAAAATAAAATTGACAAGTCTAGTGTAACGATTGTGCCATATGGCAATAATAAGGTTTAAACAGTTGGGAGTGTCATAATAAAATGTTTAATAAAAAATGTTGTCTATAATATAAAGTTTTTGTTGGTTGAGGAGGCTGCCTATTTTGGGTCTAAATACTAAATTTAAGGTAAAACTAAATTTAGTACAAAAAATTGATTCAAGATCACAGGGTGACGACAAAGAAAGTTTTGTTAAAAATAATATTGAAATTTTTGAAGGAACAGGCAAAGTTCCTTTTCAGTATAAAATAATGCTTAAAAATGATTATAAACCATATATAAGTTCTTGTCGTAGAGTTCCAGATACAGTAAAACCATTGTTAAAAAACACATTAGAAGACTTAGAACGTAAAGACATAATTTGTAGGTTGGATGAACCAACGGAGTGGGTTAACAACATTGTAATTGTAGAGAAACACTGGATACCAGGGGAAATTGTAGGGAAATGTGATGCTCCTAGGTCGTATATGGTTCGGGATAACTTTGGCAGGGTAACGAGACGAAATACTTCATTTTTAAGACCATCACCAAATTAATGTCCTCCGATTCAGAAAGAATATGTCTCCACTCATTAGGTCTAAACCTAGCTCCTCACAAACAAGGTTAAATATTAATAATAATAACAATAACCTGTGGGAGTTTCTATCAGTTCTTCTATCAGGCGCGGCCCCCTGCGAATGGGGGATGCTTTCTGGGTATCCGTAGCGCAGATACCCAGAGGGTAACAGGAATACCTGTCGTGGAACAAAAACTGACACCTGGCAGTAGTTATAAAATGCACACCCATGATAATGGAGTATAATAATTTATGTTTAGGGTCGCTGCCTGGGGATCGCCAGGGCACGTCTGGAGCCGGCGCTGGACGTGACAGCATGCGGGACGTCGGTGGCAGGGTGTTGAGGAGGCGGGCCCCTGTCATACAATCAGCTACAGCCCAACAACAACAGCAAAAACAACCACAAGCGAGAAAAACAACAACAAGAGCTCCACTCGCTGAAGGTGCTGCGCTGGAACATCAGCCGGCGCTCACCCAAGCGGGACGACCGAGGCAGCGCATGAAATGGACTGCGTCCATAAATGAGAATATTTTGCGCTTCTATTACCAGGTGACAAACCTCGGTCAAGAGACGATCGGGTATCGACAAAATCTCTATGCCGAATTTTGCAGGGAGTACCCAGAAATTCAAGTAACTGAACAACGAGTTGCTGATCAATACCGGGTAATTATAAGAAATAATCTTATCCCAGAGGCTAGACGCAATACCATCAGAAGCGAAGTCGAACAGGAGATTAATCACCAAGAGGTAAATGTAGATCAAGTCCCTAATGAAAGACATGAGCAGATTCCTGAGCTTACCATACAAGAAACTCAACCTGATAATACACTACAGGACAACAACGAGTTACGTGATACTCTGGTAAGCGAAATGGCACGAGCTGTACAAGAGTTTAATAGAACAAATCCACTTAGCAGATCACCGCTACCAAAAATAAACTCTTCTAAAAAACTAGGTGCTCTGTTACAAATTATAAATACTGAAGTCCTACCCAATTACGTCGTAGAAGCCCATACGCTGGAATATTTGCATATGCTTATTTACTGTGCAGCAACAGCAGCAGCTAATGTAATGGGAATTAAGATCAGAACACGACGGGGTACTAATGCCGGAAGGACTGATAACAGAGTTGCACCCTGGGAGAAACGGCTCCTAAACAAGATTGAATTATTGCGTAGGGACATTGGTCAAATGACAGAATATATACGAGGAACAACAAGTAGAAAAGTTATTAAAAGAGCTGATCAAATAATGCTAAGCACTGCAAGACACTCGCAATATGATCCAGTAAACATCACAGCCCATCAGTGCCTGGATACATTAAAACAAAAACTCTCCGTTTATTCAGGACGGCTAAGAAGGTACAAGATTAGTAACAGCCGGAAATGTGACAATGCGCTTTTTGAGCATGCCGAGAAGGCGTTCTATCGGAAACTTAATTCCACTGCCGAAAGTGCCAATAAATCATACCCAAGCCAAGAAGACATTCAGGAGTTTTGGGGAAATCAACTTTCCACACCAGCTGTTCTTAACACTAATGCTGGATGGATAGAAGATACGACGCACAACTGTCAACACTACCGCACAACTATTTATGAACCCTTCACCACAGAAGAAGTCTCTAATATCATCAAAGAGCTTCATAACTGGAAATCTCCTGGACCAGACGGAGTTCAAAACTTCTGGCATAAGAAGTTCTGGAGTGCTCATGAGTGCCTGTCAACATTAATTAATCGTGTTATTTCTAATCCGCAGGAAATACCATCATTCCTAACTCAGGGAACAACTTATTTAATACCGAAGGATCAAAATAATACCCAAGATCCAGCTAAATACCGCCCAATTACGTGTCTTCCAACTCTGTATAAATTGGTCACATCCTGTGTAGCCCAGCGTATCTACCAACACTGCGCTCTAAACAATATCATAGAACCTCAACAGAAAGGATGCGCTAAGGGCTCCATGGATTGCAAAGAACAACTTATTATCGACTCAGTCATTTCTAACCAGGCATACACCAAAAAAAGAAACCTCTTCACTGCCTTTATTGACTATAAGAAAGCCTTTGACTCAGTGCCGCATGAATGGCTTGTAGATATATTAAGAATATATAAAGTCGATGATAATATAGTGACCTTCTTAAGACATATAATGACAGATTGGAAGACTAAAATTCACCTCCAAATACCTGGTGAAAACAATATCGAAACGAAAAATATCGCAATTAACCACGGCCTATTCCAAGAAGACTCGCTGAGTCCCTTGTGGTTCTGTCTAGCGATGAACCCACTATCCCAGCTATTGAACTCCACTGACTCAGGTTTTAGCATTAAAAAACAACAACACTGTAGTGGCGAAGCTTAATCATCTGTTGTATATGGATGATTTGAAACTAATGGCTTCGACTCGAAATCACTTAGATCAAATGCTAAAAACTGTAGAAACTTTTTCAAATGATATCAGTATGCACTTTGGGTTAGACAAATGTCGTGTACTAAATATAGTCAAGGGAAAGGTTCAGCCCGGGGGATTCGATATGCAAAATGGCCAAAACATCGAGGCTATGGGCGAAAATGATATGTATAAATATCTAGGAGTAAAGCAAGCGCGGAAAATTGACCATAAACAAATGAAAATCGAATTAACATCAGAGTTCATACGAAGAGTAAAACAGCTACTCCGCTCACATCTTAATAGTAAAAATTTGTTTAAGGCATTAAACACCTACGCATTTTCCGCGCTTAGCTACTCATTTGGGATTATTAAGTGGACTAAAACGGATATAGAAACTCTTCAGAGAAAAGTACGAACACACCTCACAAAGGCACAAAAACACCATCCTCGAAGTGCAGTAGAAAGAACGACATTACCGCGGTATTTAGGAGGACGAGGACTTATAGATATAAGCGAGCAATTAGATAAACAGATTACTAATTTAAGAACTTATTTTCAGGTGCAGGCGGAGACATCTACTCTTCATCGCGCGATTTGCGCAGTAGATGACACAACACCGATCAAACTGAGGGAACAAGAAATTCGCATAAACCATCTTACTAAGAACGAAAAAATGCGCATCTGGATGGGTAAACCTCTGCACGGGCGACATCCGAATGAAGTCAGTCAAGACTATGTCGACAATATAGCGTCGAACTATTGGCTGACATCAGGAAAGATGTTCCCTGAAACAGAAGGTTCATTACTCGCCATTCAGGATCAGGTTATACCAACCAAAAATTACCTGAAATATATCGTCAAAGACCCTCAGGTCCAAAACGACAAATGCCGATATGGATGCCAAGCCCAAGAAACTATACAACATCTTACCGGAGGCTGCCAGGCATTTGCTGCAACTGAATATAAGGAACGGCATGACTCAGTAGGGAAAATCCTCCATCAAGAGATAGCTTTTAAACTGGGACTTCTACAAACAAACCATCTCCCATATTATCAATACGTTCCTGAGAGTATGCTGGAGAATGACAACTACAAGCTATACTGGGATCGCACTGTGCTCACAGACCAAACTGTAGTACATAATAGACCAGATCTCGTGCTAGTTAATAAACTAACAAGACAAACAACTCTAATCGATGTGGCGATACCTAACAACAATAATCTGCGTGTTAAGTACAACGAAAAGATCGACAAGTACAGAGATCTGGAAATACAAATAAGAAGACAATGGAGAATGGAAAGTACCCAGACGATACCTATTATTCTTTCTACCACTGGAGTCATTCCGAAGAACCTCCTAGAAAACATAAAAAAGCTGGGTCTTAATGAACATGAACATCTATATAAGGTCATGCAGAAAGCTGTGCTACTTTCGACGTCCAGATGCGTGCGAAAATTTTTAGGAGATACACCGACGTACCAAGTCACCTAGGACTCGATAACATGGAAAGACTCCCACCAGAGCTCAATCCTTTTGATACCGTAGGTATCTGGGATGAGTGAATTTTCCCCTTAGAGGGAGTGTGAGCCGTATGGTTAAATCTGGATAATAATAACTTTAAGCCTGAGATTTGTTCAAATGAACCAACTGTTTCAACCAAAATTGTGTCTAGTAACTTGAATTGTAACAGTAACCATGACCAACTTCAAGTCACTTAACGAATATAGGTTAAGCACATTGTAATATGTAAGATTTAAAGTAAAACTTAAAAAGAATATTATTTCATAATAACAAACATAAGACAAGTACATAATTACAAAATAACCTATTCGTTGCAAACTGGCAAAACTGGCGATAAATACTGACTCTAGGTCATATAATTAAATAAGTAATTAAAATGAATTTATCCATATAAACTCATAGTTAGAGGAAGAGGTAAAGAGAACAAATAAAAAAATAGACTTTCTGGATCTGGATATTCGGGAAACTCTATTAATTTGTAGTTTATAACTGCGATAAGATGTAAAGCACATGTAAAAAATCGAAGGAATAAACAGGTGGATCAATCAAAGAAAGACTGCATAGAACCTACACATACCTAAATATAATGACAGAATAGATTAGTAAAAATATCGAGATACGAATCATGAAGAAAACGATGGTCAATCTTTGAAACCGAGGAATAACCTGAATGCGAAGTCTTTTGAAGTCGTACTAGACTACCTAAAACCATTATTTTAATAACTTATGCAATATCTTTTCACATTGTTCTGAAGCTATTTTCTTGTGGCATTTTAAATTAATTAATAACTATTTAACTGGGAATAAGCCACAATTAATATTGAAAGCCACTGGAAATAAGCACCAATATTGAAAGAGGAAGTTATTAATAAGAAAATACCAGTATTAGTAAGTCAGTAACATATAGAGGATACATCATTTATGTTTTTTAAATAACGAAACATATAAAATCAGAATTTTGGTGTTTATTGAAGGTAAACTAAATGCACGAACAAATACTTACCATGTCAGGATAGTATTATGAGGTTTTTTTCCTGGTTTTTCCCTCATAATTTACTATGGA